CCCCAAAACCCCAAAACCCCAAAACCCCAAAACCCCAAAACCCCTCAAAGTATTTTTCCAATAAAAGGAAGAGAATAGTAAATTAAAGCAATAAAAAAGGTAGAATTATGATCTTAAGATAGTAGTCTGAGTATTAGTATTATTGCTAAATTAATAATTACGGTATATTTAATATAATATAAGCAAATAATATCATTGATATGATCTCAACCAAAGCGGTTTAAAGACTTTCAACTATTTCAAATCATTTCTGCGCTTAATAGTCCAAGCAAGGAAGCCAAGTTTTGATTGGAGATGAAACCCAGAAATATCCTGAAATTTTAGACCACAAGCCACATTTAAAGGTACATAAATAACTAATTGACTAATTTTCGAATGTAGATTAAGCTAGACTATGCAAACAAATAGGGATGGGGATACGCTGATACTGAGTACATTCATGACGAGGCAACTGGATATCTCAAACTAACTGGTATATCATTGTTTGAGTAAAATGAAATAGGTTACAGATACTAGTACAGTGAGAGATGGATGCCACATTTCAAGATTTGGGCTATTAATACAGTAGGAATTGATCTAAACAAGAAAACTGAGAAGTAAAAGGACATGCAAGTCCACGGTCCTCACTTTAATCACGAATTCTTGGCTGATTTAGGTGATCAAGGCTTCTCAAGAAGATCCTTTTTGAAATGGGAGAGAATTATGCATTCTCATGGAGAAAGTCTAAAGGAAGTATATGCCCTTAGACACGGTACATTTGAGAGAGTAGTAGATGTAGTAATCTATCCTGATACTCATGAACAATGCGAGGTAAACCAATAAATTGCCTTCTTAAAATTAATTATATACAGAAATTAGTTCAACTTGCCAATAAACATAACGTCGTGCTTGTACCGTTCGGAGGTGGCACTAATGTAACGAATTCATTGCTTTTGTCCCCAAAAGAAAAAAGAATGATTGTCTCAGTTGACATGTCCAGACTTAATAAAATTAAGTGGGTCGATAAGGTCAACAACACTGCTTGCATTGAGGCTGGTATAATTGGAGCAGACTTAGAGAGAGAACTCAAGAACTATGGTGTTGTTCTTGGGCATGAACCTGTACGATATTGATAATTTGAGTTATTTTAAATTTTATAGGATTCTATCGAATTTTCTACTCTTGGAGGATGGATATCAACTAGAGCTAGTGGAATGAAAAAAAATGTTTATGGAAACATCGAGGATATAGTTTAAAATGTCAAATTTGTTACTTCAAAGGTATGATGACTTTAGATTTAATCACTAATTAGGGAACATACACTAAACTGAGTGACTGGCCAAGAATCTCAAATGGTCCAGATCTCAATCATATTGTAATGGGACATGAAGGAAATTTCGGAATTGTTACAGAAGCAATTTTAAGAATAAGAAAAATTCCAGAGGTAAAGAGATACGGATCAATCATCTTCCCAGACTTTGAGATTGGGGTAAGATTTATGGATGAAATGTCAAGAACAAGATTGTGGCCAGCCTCAATCAGACTTGTTGACAACCTTCAGTTTTAATTCAGTCAAGCTTTGAAAATAAAGAATGATAGCAGGAGTCAAGACTATATTGATGCCATTAAGAAGTTCTACGTTCTTAATATTAAGGGATTCGATCCAAACAGAATGTGCGCATGCACTCTTGCATTCGAAGGTGGTAAAGATGAAGTTGCTGCATAAGAAAAGAATGTATATAAGATTGCTAAGAAATACAAAGGTATGATAGCAGGAGAGGAAAATGGTATCAGAGGTTATTCTCTTACATTTATGATTGCATACATTAGAGATTTTGCTTGCACCTACAGTTTCGTTGCTGAATCAATGGAAACATCATGCCCATGGAGTAAGGTTGGTTCTTTGTGTCAAAATACAAAGGAGAGACTCTTCTCAGCTTGCAGAGCTAGAGGAATTCCATAAAATAAGATTTTTGCCTCATTCAGAGTCACTTAACTCTATGAAACTGGAGCTGCTGTTTACATTTACTTCGGCTTTTCTTATGGAGATATGGATGTTAATAAGGTTGTAGCACTATATGAGGATGTTGAAAATGAAGCTAGAGAAGAAATCATGAAAAACGGTGGAAGTATTTCCCATCATCATGGTATTGGAAAGATCAGAAAGAGATTCGCTGACAAGACTCTCCCACCAATGGCTCTCCAATTCATGCAAGATATTAAAGAATCACTTGACCCTAAGAATGTTTTTGGTATTAATAATACACTTTACAGATCTGAGGAAGAGAGAAGAGAAGATATCGAAGGTCATCATTGAAATTTATCGATTTGCTTATATTGATTTTACTTTGCAACTTGCATTTACAACAAAATAATAAGAATATTCTCTCATAATCGCTTTTAAAATTTGATGGTGGGGTTTTGGGGTTTTGGGGTTTTGGGG